AGGAATGAGGTCCTCTGTGGCACCGGAAAGCTTTGGGGCACCTCAACCTCAGTGCAGCAGAGGACCTGTGGGTGGTGTGGGTCTGCTAGGCTTCTGGCCTTGTGGCTGGCACCTAAAGGTCACAGGTGGTGGCAGGAGACTGTTCAGCCTCAACACAGATGCTAAACCAAGCAGAACCCCACAGTGGGCAGTGCCAGCCTTGTGGTACCAGCTCCAGGCTATCTGCCCTGCAGTGCCGTATGGTGAAGATCACAATCCGGGGGGATGAGGGCGTCCCAGTGCAGGTGGATGGAGAAGCCTGGATCCAGCCACCAGGAATCATCAAGATCCAGCACAAGAACCGAGCCCAGATGCTGACAAGAGATCGGGTGAGCTTTGCCCTCCAGCCTGCCGTGGGGGCTAGCAGGTTAGGTCTGGAGCAGATGCCTCCAGGACATCCAGGGAAAGCCCTTCTCCCTTGGCTTGGCCTCACTTGCCACACATGGAAGTTGGCACCATGTTCCTATTCAGCATCTATCTTGCTCTGCCCCAGAAGCACCTGCATCTTTGGGACAGGATCGTCCATTTGCATGCTGAGATCTGGAGGGTCCGGGTAGCCTGTGAAACCAGGCTGTGCTGGGGCAAGGGGAGGTCTAATAAGCATCTAGAGGGCTTCCCTCTTCTCACAGGCCTTTGAAAACACCCTCAAGTCCTGGGAGGACAAGCAGAAAGGGGAGAGCTACCGAGCAGCTGCCCGGCCTCGGCTCAGCTCCCAGCAGTCCATGGAGTACCTGACCGATGAGGAAACTGGCCTCTTGCTGCAGGTCTCGCAGGTTGCTGAGACCCTCATTGCCAGGTCAGGCTGTGGGTATAGGGCAGGAGGACAGAAGCTTTGCTGCAGAAACTGAGGGCCACAGAGGGATGGATGTTTTGCTGTGGTCAACCAGGGTTGTGGGGCAATGGATGCTGTGCTGCGGACACCCTGGGCTGGGAGGGCATAGATGATTCACTGCAGGTATCGAGGGCTGTGGGGAGGTGGAGGTGCTTTCCTGTGGGCATGGAGCAGGGGTGATAGATACTTTGCTGCAGGCATCAAGAGTGCTGGGCCAGATGCATCGCTGCAAGCACTGAGAGCTGCAAGGGATGGATGTTTCACTGCAGGCACAGGGTGGGGGGAAGAGAGACTTTGCTGCAGGCACTGAGGGCTGCCTGCCTTAACATCCCCCCCAAATCTCACAGCTCCCTCTCTACTAGGCCACGCAGGTTGCAGAGCCGGGCTCCCCTGCCCTGCTCAGGTACCTGGTGATGGGGTGGGTGACTGCGTCCTTCTCCTCCACCTCTGCTCCTGGGGTGTTTGTTCAGCTCCACTCCCTGCGGCTGGGCTGGGAGATCCCACGCGCTCTCACCTGTCTCACCCACAGGATCCACGAGGCAGCCAAGGCTCACAAAGCCATGGAGCAGGAGCTGGCCCACGCCGTCAACACCAGCTCTCTGGCGCTGAGTGAGACCCTGTCCAACAAAGCCGCTAACAGCCCGGAGGTGAGCTGGGGCTGAGGGGAGAAGGGCTGGACCCCTCGCCCTACCAGCTTGGGGCCCAGGCACTCAGGACTCCCTCCCGCCTT